TTGTTGACATGTATGTACAGACCTCTAGTCAAACATAAGATCCCATCTTTTACTTTTATTGGAATGACTTCTTTTGTGTCTCTACTCATGCTTTCTGTTCCTTTTTTATTCAATTTAAAACTCTCAGGAGTAATTGTTTGCAGGAAAGTGCATAACTATGTTACCCTTCACTTAAAAGGCTGGATAATCTGTGCTGGCCAGACTTGAATGAATAAATACACAGGCGGTTAAAAAGCCCTAGGTGACCTTTGTAAGTCAATTTCTAAATAATTTATAGCTGCCTTGAAAATTTATTTTGCAAATGTTGGCAATCATCGTATTTTTCTCTTTCACCACAAAAATTAATTTAGAAAAGCTGCTTATCCCGAAAAATGAAATCTAAGGACAATATGCTCTTTCTTACTGTCACTTGCACTGAAAAGTGTTAAGAAATATTATTTTTATTCCCTAGTGCGTTTTAAACATGACATTCTTCAGACATCAGATGCTGAATAATTAGTACTTTTTTTTCTTTTAACGCTACATGAAAAAAAAATTCTGAAAGTTGAAAATAAGCAAAAAAAAAAAAAAACCAGGAAAAATATTGTTAGGGACTTTTTGAATGTACTGTTTTCATACATTGACAAAAAAATTTATCAATATTTTGGTTTCTAAGAAAACTGACTGAATTTTTAAAAACTGAAGTGGAAGATGTTGTTTTTCGAAGTTAAATGTTCAATTTCTCTATTCAATTTTCATGCTTTTTGAAAGAGGTTCGTCCTTTATTTGAAATCACTGGAGACAACTGTGATCTGATTTTTTTGTTTTTAATTGAAAACATTTGTCTGGGATCTGCCTTTCTTTAATTTCACAGAAACAAATCATATGGTATGGAATTCGATGAGTGCCTTGGTTTTTCTGACTTGCAGCAACTTGAAATGTTAGGCTGTCTCATAATGAGAGTCTTGCCCAGCTAACAGTTTACTGTGGCTAGACCAGTTAAATACAGGAGCACTGCTCATGTGGCTACCCACGCTTTTTAGAGGGATGTTATGCTATGGGTTACCGCTACAGCTTGCTGATAACGAAAGGGGCAGTGTCCTATTTCTGGCTTCTGGGAGTGTACTTCCCTCCCCTGTCTGGTGGTCGATCCTCTGATGAACCAGTTCACCTTGTTGAACCAGCAGAGAGCTGGCTTGTCCAAAAAGTCAGTGTATTTTTGCTCACTTGGTAAGCATCCATAGCCAAGGGAGGAGCACCTTCAAGGAAGGGGTTGTGGGTGTGGGCGAAAGAAAGAGTGGAGGCACCCATTTTGGGTGGTAGCATTCTCTTCAGATTTAGCTGTAACCTGTAACTTCATTCTTGGTGGGTTTTGGATTTGCCACTAGTATCAGTGGGCTGTTGTCATAAGTCATTAAATTACTTAATAATACCTTTTAATGTGGTTCATGGGGAGGAAGGCATGTATCCTCGCTGGTATTTGGAAACTGGCATTCAAATTAAGTTAATGGGAACTATGTGCTAACTGCCCTTTTGGGCCTCTCAAAATGTTCTTCTTAATTCTTAAATATAAAGCCAGATAATGAAGGATGAATCATGTATTTTTGTAATACAAATTATACAGTTAAGCTTTTATACCAAAAGGACTAATAAAGGAAATTAACCATATTATACATAAACACAGAGAACTTTTTTATTATTCTACAGTAGAGCATTTACAGATCTAAAACAGAAATAGAACTTTCTGCTATTTCATCTTCAGTAATGGTGTTATAACTCAACTAAAAAAAAAAAGTATTCAGAGAATGCCATTTTTACAAATGTTTCAAATCTGCGCCTGTTTCAAAGGGGTGTATGTTCAAGAGGGGGGGGAAAAACCCAAAGTTCTCTTGAAATGTATACGTACACTTTTAAATTGAAAAATTAAAATTGAGCACTGTCATCTCCAATGGGCTTTTCAGCTAAATGCACGGGGACAGTTGAATTGTGTTCAGCTTGTACTCTTCCTATTTTGAAATCAAAAGCTAAAAACTAGTGTTTATTATAACTTTATTATGCTGTTGTGTCTGGTTTTAAGATTTACACTGCAGGCGTTAATTTAAGATGCAACTAGTTGATTTTCTTACTGAGGAAAACACATTAAGTTACGTTTCTATTTTAGAAATAATTTTTTTACAAGAATGCAGAGTATAAATACGGTGAATTTTATAGTATTCCAATATAAAGTGGGTTAAGAGTTTTAAACTGTTAAAAAAAAAAAAAAGTCACGTGTAAAAGATGAACTTACTGGTTCTGTTTACAGTTGCTTGTCAAGAAAAAAGCAATAGCATGTCCGACCATACACTTCCAATATATTCCACCACAGTATGTTTTTGAGATTCTAAAATTACATACAGATATTCAGCTCTCAAACAAAGTTTCTTGTAGCATTTTGAGCTTATTTGAAACCCTGAAAGAACCGTCAATATCTCACGATCGTTCCACTTCATACTTCTGTTTTGGTATTTAGATCACAAGAGACTCCTATAGATGGGCAGCCTCCTGCGTTACCACCCAAACAATTTAAAAAGAACAGTTGGAACCAAATTCATCATTCACACTCACAGCAAGAACTGGATAACCATATTAATGAAACATTTGATGTTCCTGTGTCACCTGAAAAATCCACAGTAAGTTTTTGGGTCCAGTTTAACCATTCTGCTTTTTACCAGAATGATAGTCCTACTTTTCGTGAGCTTGATTCTCATGCATTTCAGGGACTTGGTGTGTTTGTGCATGGCATTGCCGCATTTCCATTATACATACTGTCTCTTTACTGGCTCCCACTGTTTTTTCTGTCTGCTGGAGTAGTCCTTTGTCATCACATGACTACATTGCGATGGATATGCAGAAACGTCTGACTAACCTCTTCTTTGAGAAGTCATTTACCATCAATTTTAAAGAAGACACTGCAGACACTGCCACTGGTGTTTAATCTAACTTTTATCAAAAAGCCAAAACTGAAAGTGCCTACCAGCTTCTAGAGCAGTTTTGTCAGGAGAGGCTTCTTGGATCTGTGGTTTCATTTCTCATTGGAATTTCCAAGAAACAGACTCTGCCAAGAGACCTGTGACAATGAATGTAAAAATCTGCGCAAAAGTTCTTTTTCCACACTTAAGCATGTGCTAGGTGAGTAAGCTAGTCAGTTGATTATTGTCTGACTGAGGGGAGATCTTACTGATCGTTTTTGTGGGTCTCCTTCCAGAAGTTTCCAAATGGTTCTTTGTTTTATACTGATGTATAAAACATCAAGATCAAGACAAGGGATGTTTTGCAGGATGGAAAACTGTTTAACATCCAAATGTGGCAAATACTGTATAAACAGTTTTGCCAACCTCAGACATTCAAAATTATGAGTCAGCTCCCAAAATTGATATTTTAGAAATGCCTTTGGTTTATTTTTATTTGCATTCTGAACTGTAAGCCTAGGATGTTCTCTCAGGCCTCATTGCAAAGTTAGGATTCCCATAAAACACATACTTAATTTCGTAGCTGGGGTTTTAATAAGACATGTGAAAGTGAAACTTGTAAATTTATGAGCATTTTGGGAATGTTCTAAAAAGACTTTGCTTTAATTAAATAATTAAACTGAATTTTTAGCAGCTTTGTCTTCTATCAGTGCTTACCTGAGTCATATTAAAGCACTGTTCTGTTTTGAAAGATAACGCTACTTTACTCATCGAGGTTTTCTGCTGTGTTCAGTTGTCTTTACCAAATTGACAAAAATAACTTTTAGTTCTGCAAAACCAACACAGCTGCGTGAGAATGAGATTCTTTTTTCTCTGTGCATTGTCAATGTGATTGGTCCAATGGGCCGCATTTATGCAGCCTTGCTTAAGGCAGTACACTGTTGTAATTGAAGATCTAATTTGGTCTGCTGATGGCTTTTTATTTTGGGTATTGGAGAAGAAGGAACACAGCATGACTGAAATTTTGTGAAATTGTAAATTTAGGATTTGGAATGTGGTGTTTTGGTTTTGTTTTTGGTTTTTTCAAAGTTTCTTTTCTGACCGGAGTGCACTTCAGGTTCCTGCACTGCTAATGTCTCTTCTGCTGCTCGATCTCAAATATTTTAAGGAAAACCCGATCTCAAATATTTTAAGGAAAACTAGTCACCATTTTGACTTCATTTAGCTATCCTGTCATATGTATGGAGAGTCTGTCTAGAAAGGTAGTAGGACAGGTGTGGGAATGACAACTTTTTACTCCCTCTGCAATCCCGAAGTATCCAGTCTGAGAATGTCCAGAAGTAATTGAAAACAAGTGTGGCCAGGAGTCCCTTCAGTCAAACAGGTTAATGATGATACACAGTGCTCTATTCAGGTTTTTCATTATAAACTGCTGCTCAAAATAGCCTCTTAAAGCCGGAAATTGTTATTCCCTTTTTGTCTAGGGAATGTAATGGCACAAGAGTTGCCAAATGCTACAGGTGAGCACTTGGTGGTTGTTCATTTTGCCCAGGAACCTGAGTCTGGTCTCCCATACCAGGCTAAAAATATTTGTATATGAACAGGCTTCCTTAAGCACCCTTCCTTCTCTTTGTCGTATCTTATGCTGTTACTTTCCTTCCTGAAATGTTTCATCTTTTCGTTACTATGAACATGTTCAGGGACGTTGTTTTGTTTTAACCAAGAGCTTAAAACACCTGGAATTTAATTAACTTTTTATGAGCCAGGTTGATCAGACTTCTTTTATCTGTTGAACCTGCAGGTTTTAAACTTTCTTACATATAGAAAAGTTTGCTTTAGTAAGTGTTTTGTTTTGTTGTTTGTTTTTTTTTTTCTTTCTGAATATGGATCTTTGGCTGTAATTGGTAACATTGAAAACTTCCTTGAAACAAATTTCTGTAATAACACTTTGCATCCTCACCATAGAAACTATATAAATACTAGCTAATGTTCAGTCTGTGAAATAAAGACTGATAGGAACAAACTAAAAATCACTTCAATGGCACTAAGTTGATTTTTCCTGATTAAAAAAAGTATCTAGTATTCCTGAGTTTCTTGGTAGTTCCTTTAACAGTGTTGTTGTGATCAGAATGAAACCGGAATGCAAGCAGCTAAAATTGTCAGAGCTTGGTCAGTGCAGAGCATGTGTCACACCTCCTCATACTCGCTACATTGGAAATGGAATAGGGGATATGGAACAAAGATTTTGTTACCAAACTCGTCCTTGCTTTCTACTGTCATATTGTTGTTAATAGAAACAAAAGTATACCTTCAATTAGCTTATTTTTCATCATTTTACATTCTTTCTGTAGACTTTTCACTGTAGTCTTAATTAAAACAAATTTAACTAGTTTCCATTTAGTAAACTGTTTTTCTTAGGACTGCTTGAAGCCAATTACTCTTTTCTAGTACTGTTTCTTACTTTGAGCTTGCTTTGACACTTTTAACCTAGTTATGTCCAAGATTTTTTAGATGTGTAACTTTTCACTTCTGTGCAAAACTCAAGATGTTTGCACTATTACTTGATGCTTTCTCAATTGGCCAGGAGCAATCACTTGATGAGGAAATTGCAAAATTATTACATGCAGTATGCTTGAAGTCTAACTATGAACAAAATATATATTAATATACTATAATTTTTGTTTACTAGCCCAATGGTGGTGTCCCCCATGACAATCTTGTTATGATCAGAATGAAACCAGATGAAAATGGAAGGTTTGGCTTCAATGTGAAGGTAACATGTTGTATACCTATTCCCTTCATGTCTATTAAGATTATTTTCTGACATTTGTGATTTATTACTAACTTAATTTGTTTTTAAAGGGTGGATATGATCAGAAGATGCCAGTAATAGTCTCCAGGGTAGCTCCAGGAACACCTGTAAGTAATCAAAAAAACCCAAACTTGTTAGTGATATCTGTGTATCTTGAAATAAATATTCAAAACTGTAAATTATTTCATAGCTGCTTATGAAAACTATTTTGTGTTATAACATCATAACAAAGCAAATTATGTCCAGTAAGGATTCGATGGGGCTATATAACATATTTTTAAAAGTTCTTGAATCCTTAAAAATACTTTTTTCTTACTGAAACAAAGTTTGATTTCTGAAAACTACAGGGAGTTACAGATGTTTGATATGCACAGTTTCTTAAGCTGTTTCATCCTAAAAATACATTTACTTTATTACCTTTTTAAAATATAGTCATTCATATAATTTCACACAAATTACATATTGAAAGAGTCTTTGAGTATGTTAAAAATAACCAAAATAGCAAATCTCTCTTATTTTAGTGACAGATGTAGCTGAATAAAGCCAAGATTTAGATTAAAATCAGACATCATGAATCATTCATCAGGTCTGATTGTCTGTTGTTACTGGTGTTTAGTGACTATCAATAGTGTCTTCAAACTAGGCACAATATTTTGTCAGTCGATTGCCAAAAATACTGACCTGGTATTCAGCTGACTGCAGTCAGCTCTGTTTATACCTTTTAGAGTAGAGTTGAACCGTTTGTTTGCTAACATTTAAGGAAGTAAAGCTTTCTTGTCTTTTTGGCTATTTAAAACTATTAAAACGTTTGCCCAGAGCATTGTTCTTATCCCTGTTAATTACTATCTCTGAAACATTTAATTACATAAATAATTTTGTCTGAATGCTTTAAACATCCGCTCTCTAAGGAGGAGACATTTGGTGACGGCATGTGCTCTTTCTTTTCTGCAATGATGTTTAGACTATGATTATAACAATGATTTTTATTACCTGATTCCCCTCTCTGGGATTACTGGGATTTGTGCATTGTCTTCGGTCCTTGTCTTACTCTTGTCATTACAGTTGCAATATTTTACATCTGAAGCATTTAAGCCTGTGAAATTGATTTGGACAAGGCTTTGCCATGTTACTCCCTTCACTTCAAAGATAAGAACATCCTGCTTTTTAATTGCCTATTCAAAATGTGGCTTAAACAGAGGAGCTTTCTGCTTCAACCAGAGGAGTGGAGTAACAGCTGCCGAAAGACATGTTACAATGACAATCACCTCCCAGTTGCAAATTGATTAGTTCATGTGAATGGCACTGTCTTATATATTGTGTAACACTTAAATTGATCATTTGAATACAATGCAGCAACCATAGCAATTAGGCTGTTAGGATTCAAGTCCCCAAGTATAGTTTAAGCTGCTATTTTAAGGTGAGAAACTGGAAATGGCTTGTTTTACAGATGTATTGTTTTTCTCCACCTTGCAGGCTGATCTCTGTGTCCCTCGTCTGAATGAAGGGGATCAGGTTGTACTGATTAACGGCAGGGATATAGCAGAACATACCCACGATCAAGTTGTTATGTTTATTAAAGCTAGCTGTGAGAGACACTCAGGGGAACTTGTGCTCCTAGTTCGACCCAATGGTGAGTGATTTGTGCATAATAATAATAATAATAAAAAAATCCACACCTTGCTTTTATTTTCTAACTTCCATTGTGTGTCCTGAGATGGAATGCTTAACATCTTTGTAAAAAAAAAAAAAAAAACTCCCTTGAAAAGAAATTGCGACAACACAATGTATTGTACAAATCTTAACTGATCCCATATGCTAAGGAGCTGTGTGTAACTAAGTGTTGAAAATTAATAGAAAAGTCAGAGATCAAGTATTTCTAACAGAGAGCTAATTTAAATATTGTTCTCACTGCCATTGATAAAAATGTCCAGAAAGCTATATGGACATTGAATGCTGTTTCTGAGGTTGCCGTTACTGCCTTAAGGAAAATAAAAACCGAACACAAACAAACAAAAAAACCCTTAACAAACACCCTGTTCTGGATGACTTTGGAGGTCAATATATGCAAAGTCCTTCCATATGTTTTTAAAACAATATGAAATGACTGGTGATTTTCTATTTGAGGAGGCTTAACAGAAGAAGGTGCTAAAAATGCAGTCTAAATATCAGCTTGGGCAATGGATTAATGAAATACACCATTGGAGCATTGCCAGCAGATGGTCACTGGGTTTAATTCCACTGCACATCTCAATTATAATGCAGTTGTAGAGGAAAAATGAAAAACAATTATCTTTAATTGGAATAATTGAGATTAGTTTAGGAGAGTATCTCAGCCACTTCATAAAAAATTCTTCCTTTATTTGCGTATTTGCACTCCCCACTTAACTTGTGTTCTCATTCTGTGTGTAAGTTCTTGCGCAGCTTTTGTGTGCTTACTTTCTTTTTCAGATAAAATTGTTAGCTTTGTTTACAAATTCATTAAAACCAGTTTCCCCTTGTGTGTGGGTTGTCTTTGTATTCTGGATAAAAACATTTGAGTTGTAGAAGTGAGGAGCTGCCAGTTTCTTCCTTCATGCTCATGGGATATCATTTCAAAACAGGCATTCGAACAGCATGTGTCTGTTCTGTGTAGTAGAAGATGTATATTATTTTTCAGTTTATTTATAGGTGGGGCGTGCATACAGCATTGGTAGTGTTTTAACAGCATATATTAGTGCCATTTTCTTGTCTGGTCTGCACATCTTGCCCTAATTACTGAAGCCTAAAATCAGTTCAAAGTGAATTAAAAGTAAAAATGTAAACACAGTTACAATGACTTCAGAGGCATGATGTGAGAATCTGAGATTAGGGAGTTACATCAGACAAGGTAGGGTATAACATGAGTTTTGATCAAAATTTAAGTCAGTGATGTGCTTTCACTTAAAATTACTATTAAACCAAACCAAATAGTTTTGTCATGGATTATAATGATCAATAAAAGCTACTTGCCCTTGCTGATGGGGGCCAAAATCAGTGTGTTAATAAATGTGGATTTTTCTGTAGGAGAAACACTTGTCTTTTTTTCTGTTTTAAATAAATTACTTGGAGTTAACTTTACTTGCCAAACAGCATCTTCAGTCAGAGCATTCATACCTTTATTTGTTGTAGCTGTCTATGATGTTGTGGAAGAGAAGCTGGAGAGTGAGCCTGACTTCCAGTACATCCCTGAGAAATCTCCACTTGATGGTGTCCATCAAGATGATAATGCTCTGAGGGAATCCATGATTCAGCTAGCAGAGGGGCTTATCACTGGAACTGTTTTGGCTCAGTTTGATGTGAGTACCATGTCGCCTGTAGCTGTGTGCAAATTCTGAGTCTTTTGGGATAGTAATTATTTTAAGCAGTGCAGATTTCAGGTAAATTTTGTAGGAGTCAGCATCTTTTAGAAGAGCAATTGTCTTACACTCTCAAAAGAAAAATAACAAAAGAATTTTCTAATCCCATATTATATGTGCAAACTTGCAGCATAGAAAAATCCTAATATTAGTTTTTAAGTGTTGTTTATTATAAATAGCTATTGATTACTTACATTTTTTGGTGGTTATCAGAGACCTATGCTAATAAAATATTTTCATAGAGATGAAGACTGAAAAATGTATACCAAAATTTGTGTTCTGTACTCAGACCTTCATTCTGTATCTAAGTTACTGTAGAAACTGAATGACAGCTGAGCTGTTGACATTTTATGGACAACTGCAATGAGGGAAGGTGAAATTACCAACGGAAAATACAACCTTAATCTTAAGGGTTACAACCCTAATCTTAAGGGTTATGTAACAATGTCTTTTATAAATAGTTGATCTTTTAAATGACATATTTCAACAGAACAGTGCACTTTCTGTGGGGTCCTAAGCTGCTGATAGCTATAGTCTTTCTTTAGCACTAACTGGTGAATTGGTAATATTCCATCTTTAATGTATGAGATCAAGTGACTTAAAGGAGGAAGCAGTAGATCTGTAAAACACAGCAGTGTGAATTCCTCACCAAATTAAGACCTAGCATTATATATTACAATGTATATTTATAAAATATATTTATATACTATTCTTTAAGAACTTTGGTAAAATTTACTTACACATATAGAAAGAAAATATTTTCTCAAAGTGATTTAAAGCCTCTCCTTAACCATACATTCTTAGTCTCCCAGACAGGTTCAATGTTGAGAAGTTTTTAAAGTGCTTTTTATTGAACGTGCATCATTTATCTGATACTGTTTGCAGCACAAGGGTTGTGGCAGTGCATGGCTAAGGCATGAGAGGACAGGAACCTCTCAAAGGAGATTTTGTGCAGGAAAAGCACAAGGTAGCCCAGGATTTGCTCTCCAGTTACTGAAATATGGAAGGACATCTGGGGAGAAAAAAAAGGGAAACTACTACAATGTGGGTAGATGCCTATAGACAGCACAGTCTGCTTGCCCCAAATCACAGTGTGGAATGTCAGAATCTGTCAGTTCCCTTACCAGTATATGATGATGAATTTTCTCTGCAGCAGTGTTCTTACAGAAGCTTGAAACTTAACGTTTGGTTTGTCTTTGAACAAATTGAGACGACGTCTTGATTATTTCCAGTGATCCCACAGCATAACTAAATTCGTAGTGCTTTCTTTTGAAAAGTATTTTCATGTGTATTGAAGATACCGTTGCTCAGTAGTTTATGTTCTAAAAAGTACCCCTAGTCACGTAATATACTAATGGGTCTTTCACATCTAGTAATGTCTGACCATCAGTTTTGTCTTTTAGCAATTGTATAGGAAAAAGCCTGGAATGACAATGTCTTGTGCCAGATTACCTCAAAACATTTCCAAAAATAGATACAGAGACATTTCGCCTTGTAAGTATGTGTGTTTGTAAATATGTTCTAAAAGTATTTTACTGTGGTTGGTAAATAAGCAACACCTTTCTAAACATTTTTTCAGATGATGCTACACGGGTTATTTTAAAGAGTAATGAAGATTACATCAATGCAAATTATATAAATGTGAGTACTGTTTTTCAAAAGACCTTCTGATATTAATTTCGCAGTTTTTCAATGGCAAAGTTGATTTAAAAAAAAAAAAGACATTTTCATAAAAGTAGTTCAGACTAGAATGGCTGGTAAACCTGTAGTCAGATTGTTTGAAATTTACTGTAGGTACACTTATTTGCTAATGCTTTGTAGCAGGTGTTTTTATAAATGAAACAAAGAAAAAATGAGGAGAGGAAAAAATGAGGAGAGGAGATAGCCTTCTACCAGAGGAATTAATTCTTCTTTTCTGATTACTAATGTGGCAGTAATTCAACATCAGTAAAGTTTAATCTGGCAGCACTTCCTTTTACACCTTCCCCCCCCCGCCCATCCATTGTCAGCAGCAACAAAATTCCAACTACTTACTTTTCATTTCAGGAACAAAAACCAGAGCTTAAAAATAATTCAGAGATCAGTATTTTAAAAGCTAGTGTCAGAAACCCACAGAGCATCAAATGTTTGCACCTGAATTATTTGCCAACTGGTCTATCATTTCTTTTTTCAACCGTTATGGCAACCAGATAACTCAGTTAATGTGTGAAGTGTACTTGGATCTTTGTAATAATTTTGCATGTGAAACACTTCGGAGAATTTTTATCTGTGCCAATCCGTATTTACTAACTTATAATAAATAGAATTAATGTAGTTGATGCTTTTTTTAATGTATTAATTGGAAAACACGGAATGTCTAATACCTGACTTATATCTGCTGTAAAAATTAATGTAGTGACTTTGTCTTCTCTTAGATGGAAATCCCTTCTTCCACAATAATAAACCAGTATATTGCTTGTCAAGGTCCATTACCGAACACTTGTCCTGATTTTTGGCAGATGACTTGGGAACAAGGCTCATCTATGGTTGTAATGTTAACGACTCAAGTTGAACGGGGCAGAGTAAGTAAAAGATTTCCCTAAATATTACTTACATAATCTTCTAAAAATCTGTTGGTGATTAGCCTTTAAAAGGTTAGAGGAATATACTGTTATGACACACTACATGACAAAGAGTAACAGTTTTAAACTAAAAGAAGGTAGATTTAAACTAGATGTAAGGAAGAAATTCTTTACAATGAGGGTGGTGAAACACTGGCACAGGCTGCCCAGAGAGGTGGTAGAAGCCCCATCCCTGGAAACATTCAACCTGATCCGGCTAAAGATATCCCTGCTCACTGCAGGGGTTGGACTAGATGGCCTGTAAGGGTCCCTCCCAACCCAAACTATTCTATGATTCTGTGACTTTTTCTTCATAAGGGCATTGCATTCCTAATGCTGTTGCAATGATGACTTTTACATTTTAAATCTGATATTGTTAACATACCTAATATTTAAACTTTGTTCAGTTCTGAAATACATTGAAGTCTTCTTGTATTTCTTAAAATATTTTAGGCTTCTTTGTTAGGTTCTTTATTGTAACGAAAAAAGCAACTAGAATTTACCTTCATAGGATTTTTGTCTCTAAACTTAAAATGAAGGAACTCCAAGAAGTTTCATTAGTTTTTGTAGATTAGTTCTTAGATATGTAGAGAGATTAATTTTTTAAGACAGCCTAACACAGCTTTGTAGTGTTAAGATCCCACTCCTGGATGGATGGTTTTAAGGGAATCTTTGCTAAGCTTGAAATCTAAATTTTTTTGTAAAATGTCCTTCTGTAGCTATAAACATTTGTTTAATCATATGAAAGAATCATTGTAATCATTGTCCTTTAAGTCATTTCCATACAAAAATGTGTAAAAATAGAGTGCTAGTAATAAAATAATTAGGAGTTCTAAATTACTAAAAATAATTGTGTATGGTGCTGTAAAAGGCCTCAGGTTTATGTTGTGGTTGGTTTGTTTTTGGTTTAAGATATAATTTCTCCTTAATAGGTTTGTTTATTGTGCAGCTGTGTCCTTTGGAGGCAAACCAATCAAGTCTGGTCATACAGAGAGTGTAATTCCAGAGTTACTTGGTTTATAGTCTGGAGCATTCACAGTAGCACTGGCTGGTTGAGTGTGTGGACAGAAATTACAGTCTGGAATAATAGTTTAGTGGAATTTGTCCACATTCAGGATTTCTTTTGAAGACGGATTTATAGTAGGTTGTGGGTATACTGATCAACTCAGATGGTAGTTCAGCTGTCTGTGTATATTCTAAATTTTTAATAATCATGTTTTTGCTGGGAGTTCAGGCCTCTAAATATTAATTAAAATAATTGAAGGGGAGTTGGAGCATTTTTAAACCATTTTTCAGTGACTCAATGTTAGCATGATGCTGCCTGCTCCCAAATAAACATGATTAGAGGGAATTTCAGTACAAGTGCCCTTTTAATTTGAGTTTTCTTTGCAGATCTGCTAAGAACAGACTTGCAGTAGCAGTTCTCTGAGGTTCCCCCACCCCTTCAATAATTATATTTGTGCAGTTCTTTGGAGAGCTGCTTAATAATGAAATAAAAGGATTTATCTATCTTATACCCATAGGCAGACTCCCTGCTCTAAAGCTGATCATGAGGCTACTGACATCACTATCCCACTGCATGCCGGGATGTCTCAGTGGAGCAGGAAGTCTGCAAATCTGGCTGCTCTTAAAGAATCGCCAGGTGGGTTGGAAAACAAAAGTACACTTGAGCTGAAATGACCTCTGTAATTAGGCGTTCAAGCAATATATCTGAAAATCTTGATGTTTGAAGTTTTCTTTCACATTTGAAGTGCACCATCTGCATCCCCCTAATTTCTGTGGTAGTTTAGCAACTTTTTTGTTGCTTATCACCTTTTTTTTCATTTGTTCTTTTCTCATATAAATGTGCTTTGAGAAGTTTAGATTAGGATTTTGGAGGTCAAAAATGTTTATAAAGCAGCATTTTCATCACTCAAGTGTTAAGATGGAGTATTTATAGATAAACTGTTTTTAAAAATTGTAATGAAAGTTAAAGGCATCCATCTTCAGTTAAACTAACCTCAAGAGCTGATGCATGTGTCCTGTTGAAAAGCAAACGAAAAAATCCCTGCAATAGCTTATTTTATAAACAATAATTAGGTAACCCAATTTGTTTGGTAAGTAAATGAATAGTGATTACAAAATTATCAAAATAGTCTTTAATGAGCGAAGGTATAAGGAACTAGAGAGAATGAAAATAATACTTTCTGAATTTAAACACAGGCATTTTTAAAAATGTGTTGACCTTAGGTTAAGTGTCACCAGTACTGGCCAGAGCCATCAGGAAGCTCATCGTATGGGAATTTCCAGATTACCTGCCATTCAGAAGAAGGAAATCCTGCTTATGTCTTTCGAGAAATGACATTGACTAACCTGGAGGTAAAATCATAATATATATATTTTTAAGTATTAATCTGTGTAATCCTCAGAGACTAGTTAAAACTTACTTAATCAGACTTTCTTTTCAACTTAGTGGCACATCCACATGAATAAACCGTTTATTTCTAGAAGCCTTTAAAAAACTACTTGTATTGCCATGTGCTTACCTAGTATAAATTCTGCTCATAGAATGATAACACTAGCAACATATCACAAAGAATCAGTTTCCATAATCATATTAATTGTTTTAAATCACATAAAAGATGTATTATTTGTCTTAAAATTCTTTACTGGTGTCTTCCATGCCCTGGCCAAAGAAAAAGAGTAATTAAAGAAGCTGAGAAACTTGTTATTCCCCTGGTGTTTTTAAAACATGGGACACCAGAAGTATTTCATTGTTGCAACTGAAAATCTGTCTTTGTAGAGGCAAACAGTTTTCAATAATTTCATCTTGGAGAATATGTGCGAGTAGATGGCAGATAAATCCTGCTGACAGAAAGAAGCATTGGGATTGGTGACTACGTGGAAACAAGGACCTTCCTGATCATGCATTGTGTGATTTTCAGGGCGTGTGTAGTTTTTAGAGCCTCCGCAGCATTTGGAAATGACTATCTGGAATTTAGTTCATGTACTCATTTCTCACTGATTGTGTTACCAGATGAGAGGCCATTTTTATAGAGCTGCCTTTTAGTCAATTTGCAGTTAAAATTCCTTCCCTTTGTCCTGTTGAGACAATTGCACCCTTGTTATCAGCGGCAGAACCTCTAAATGATTCTGCACCTAAAGGTTGTTTAAAGTGCGGTAACTCCTGTTCTTTGAAATGCTGCTTTTACACTGATTGTACGGCCTGTCCCCTCCCCTAACCAGAGGCAGATGGTGTTTGTGATACTGGAGCAAGGGGCCAGAGTGGAAAACAAAGTAATTCTGCATCTTATGTATAGGATGCTGGATAAAATTACAAGGTGCAGATAAAGCCAAAACAATGCTGCTGTTCACATGGGGTCTGAAGGAAAGCTTTTATGTCTGAAAGATCTGCCTCTCCCCTTCCTACCTCAGTTCTGTCAGTTGATCTAGTAAGATAGCACCTCTTTCTGTTAAATTTGTTTTGCTAAAAATTTGACCACCTTCTTGTACATTTCATGTTAAGATAGTTCACTATCCTTGAACTGCTTTGCTATTACATGGCATGTAATTCTTTTTAACCTGTTGAGGATGCAAACAGTTGTGGATTGCCTTTTTTTGTTTTTAAGAAAAAAAAAAAAGAAGTAATTTTAAAATCCAGGGTGAGCAATGATTAACATTAAATAAGAGCTTACTGGTACAAGTTGCTGTAAATGTACCGTTGATTTTTTTTTTTATTACTATTATTATTATTGTTGTTGTTTTTTTAATGGAACCTGAATTACCTGTGAATAAACTTCATGTTTCTGATTAGAAAGAGGAAAGCCGCCAACTAACCCAAATCCAGTATATAGCATGGCCTGATCATGGGGTTCCTGATGATTCCAGCGATTTCCTAGATTTTGTGTGTCTGGTGCGAAAGAAGAGGGCTGGCAGAGAAGAACCTGTTGTTGTTCATTGCAGGTATCCATTTTTTCCAACTTATTAAATCATCAAAGTGAACTTACTTACCGTCAAATAGCTTTTCTGTGCTTTGTTATTGAAATAAACAATTAAATGCATCTGCTTTGGGGATGAAAGGAGAATTCAACAGTTAAATAAAACAATTACTTAAAATCGTAATCATGTTTCAGTAAGCAAAATTTTGAGTACGTGCATTGATCTGTGCAGGGAATTGTTGGTTTGGGGTTTTTCCGTTTTGTTTACATTTTAAATGCTTGTACTAACAGTCTATGTAATAATTCAGAGAAATGACAGAAGAGATTTATGAAACTTTTCCTCATGGTGACTACTGGCTATGAAAAGTACCTGGTGGTGCTGGTCGACAGCCGGCTGAACGTGAGCCAGCAGTGTGCCCAGGTGGCCAAGAAGGCCAACAGCATCCTGGCCTGTATCAGAAATAGTGTGGCCAGCAGGAGCAGGGAGGTGATTGTGCCCCTGTACTCGGCACTGGTGAGGCCGCACCTCAAGTGCTGTGTGCAGTTTTTGGCCCCTCACTGCAGTTAAGACATTGAGGTGCTGGAGCGTGTCCAGAGACGGGCAACGAAGCTGGTGAAGGGTCTGGAGAACAGGTCTTGTGAGGAGCGGCTGAGGGAACTGGGGAAGAGGAGGCTGAGGGGAGACCTTATCACTCTCTAAACTACCTGAAAGGAGGCTGTGGTGAGGTGGGTGTTGGACTCTTCTCCCAAGTAACAAGTGATAGGATGAGAGCAAATGGCCTGAAGTTGCGCCAGGGGAGGTTTAGATTGGATATTAGGAAAAAATTCTTTAGTGTAAGAGTGGTCAAGCATTGGAACAGGCTGCCCAGGGAAGTGGTGGAGTCACCATCACTGGAGGTGTTCAAAAATGTGTTGATGTAGCACTTCAGGACATGGTTTAGTGGACATGGTGGGATTGGGTTGACAGTTGGTCTTTTCCAACCTTGATGATTCTATGATTCTATTCTACAAAACTCCAGAATAGCTGTATAAATAGTCCATAGCAGAAAACGTGGGTGGTATATGCAATGATCAAATAAAAGACACTTTCTCTCAAGTCAGCAGTCTTGGGCTACATGATATTTTGACACGTACATTAAGGTGACACGTTTTTCTCAACATTTTACTTTTGTAATGAATTAAAATAACTCTGTTACTCAAATTTTTATGTGCACATGAAGTGTGTTTTTTTGTATTTGTTGTGCAATAGGTTTTAATAGCATTCTGCACTCCTATCATAAATTTCAAAATCTTAATCCTTTACAATACCTAATTAGTAAACTGCACTCATGCGTAATGCCAAATCTCTTCAAATGAACATATGCTATACCTATTCTTGGTGAGAGCTCTATGAATAAAATTTGACCTCTAAATTCCTGAGTACTCCCCAGACAGTCAGTGTTCCTGAGTCAGGTGTGCATCATTCCTGTTTCAAAGAGAAGCTGAGAGATTTAAGGCATAAAATAAATTTAAAGACTATCTAATCTACAAGTAAACTAAACATTTATTGAAGATGATGAAGGAAAAATATTTTCTCTCTTTAACACTTTGCGTGTCAGAAATTGTATTTAATTGGTTTTGCTCTCTCTTCTGCTTCGTGCTGGTCAGGGTGAATCTGTACTAATTAGGGAGACCAGTATCAGAATGCCACTATCTTAAATGATATTGTTCCTCAGCTTCCATTACTGATATACTTCTGATTGATATGGTTGTGAACAAATAGTGAAAATATCAGCCAAATACAGCTTTTATAGTATGAAGTGTGCAAGGCTGCAGAGATGCTGGAACAACAACTTTGGATAGTATAAACAGTTTCGTTCATCTCAATGAGACATCAATTCAGCTCCACACTGCTTATTTCAATACCAACAGTTCTATGTTTCACAGAAGGAAAGGGCGGGAATATCACAGTTCAACGTAGTTTACTTCATTGGCCTAACTTGGTGGCTGTTGGCAAGTATAACCAAATTCCACTGGTGAGTCAGGCTGAAGGAGCCCAGGGGTTCCTCTGTACGCTGCGTGCACGCTGTTTTTAATGTCTGGTCAGTATAATAGGACAAGGCATTAGTGCAACAAAATGGTAAAACTTGTTTTCAGAACGAAGCCATCAGCTTTAGTGTGGGGAATCCAAGTAGCTAGCAGAGCTTTTCTTTTGTACAGTAGTAGTTCAGAAACAAAAGCAAAAAACCAGTGAGATTGTAAAGTAACAAAAATCTTAAAAAAACTAGAAAGGTTTTTGTTGTGTTGAACTACTAAAACCGGTAGTTTCCAAGCTTGTGTTCATGTGTTTGTTTTTGTTTTTACAAGGCTCCTACTAGTTTAGTTGAACGGTTTCTAATTCTTGTTCTAGGTGAGCCACCCATCCTGTCTGTGCTTTTCGTGGTTTTCGCGTCCTGTCTCAGTGAATGATTTCTTTTTCCAAGCTGAAGAGTCCTAGCCTACCTGATATTTATCCTATGGAAATTATCACACTTTCCATCGTTGTTGTTTCCCTTTTCTGATTTTTTTTTTTAAAATTAGAAAATGAGTCATGAGGTTCTTTGTCAGATACTCTTTCTGTTTGGATTTGATAAAGCTTTCTGCATATAAATTCTATACATACAAATTCTAGAAATATAAAATGCTATTGAATAATTTTATATAACAGCACATTTACATCTTGTCATAAATTCTCATGACATCACTGAAATATATAATAGCTTTAATGCCACCTTCTGGCACAGATTTGAAGTAGTAGTTTGGCCAGACAATTTGAAGTTATGCTTCAAAATCAGAACAATTAAGTTTCAAATTTGGAATGTTTATATTAACTAATTTAGAAGCAAACTCTTTTGTTTATTGACTGAAATACTAGTTGTATGAGTTGAGATAATGCTGGCATTTGAAAATATGGATTTGGTCCTGTATTCAAATATAGAGAAACATGGGGTTTCTGTTTCAAAAGTGCAACATAATTTTCTTGACTATGAAAAATTTGAATTTTATTTTTAAACTAAAGGTGATTCATGTAAGCTCTTTCAATAATTTTGCCATTCCAAGATGCATATGTTACAGTTCTTCCTTGTTTTGAAAGGGGTTGCTATTATGCATTCCTTTTCAATCTACACAAGTTAGATCTCTCCTGTACTTTTTAATACTGAGAAAATTATCATTATTGTCATCCTCCAAAGATTTTTAGTAATTTTTCTATTCCTTATTCTGAAATATGAAGGTATGGATCACTTTGAGAACGTAAATATGGTTTTATCAAATCAGCCCAGCATTCCAGTAACCATTGTTACAGCAGTGGCCAAACTGACAGAAAGTGCACAGTGTATGCTGGGTATCTCTGTGTCCTGTGATTGTCTGGTTAATAGTGTGGTTTATAATACGATCTGAATAAATATCTGTTTGTAAATTCTGCTCAAGTGAATGGCTGGGTTAAGACAGTCGCTTTTCAAAGGACTGACAATTCTGCACTGATTGTTTTTAGCTGTGTTCAGGCAGGACAGAGGCTTCCAGTGACACAGACACAATCTGTCTAACCTGCCCTACTATTAGGGGAATCTTAATGATCAGTCATAAGAATTCATCAGAAGGAAAGTCTTTCAGTATAAACTATACTCCAGATACTTTGTTTCATTTTCCATTTTGGGTTTTTTGTTGGTTTTTTTCAGTGCTGGGATTGGACGGACAGGAGTTCTTATCACTATGGAGACAGCTATGTGTCTCATTGAGTGCAATCAGCCTGTTTATCCATTAGATATTGTAAGAACCATGAGAGATCAAAGAGCCATGATGATCCAGACGCCTGTGAGTATCATACTTGCTGTCCTGTCTTGCAGAAGAGTAATTTCTGTTATCATTAGATGGGTTTTTAATGTACTCGCTGTTGATCATAATGCAAAGAGGTCATCTTTACCTAATGTAGCTGTAGCCTTGGCTCCAAGCAGGAGTAAATTGCTAAGGCTGTTGGAAAGGAGCAATTCTTTAAATTTCTACAAAGAAAACTTGAAAAATGCAGCAGTTGTTTCAGGCATACCTGGTATTTACTGTCAAAAAGGGACAGTTTTCAGTAGTGTAAAAATTACTCGGTGAAGAAAGCAGGAGCCTAATCCCTAAGAATGGGAGTAGTATAAAAGGTAAACACAGAAAAATTGAAGAGTTGCAAGAAAAACCTTCAGTGATGCAATACAGTGATTTTATGTTGCCTTAGTTATAATGAAAACAAGCTTCAACTCTGCCCTGTAGTGACTCAATTAAAGCCAAATAATCAGAGAAATAGTATTTTTTAAAAATCAATGTAATTAAATCTGATGCAAGATATATCAAAGTAATTTTAAGTGTATTTAGTCTGAAAGAAGTAACTTGCTACCAGGATTCTTTTGGTGCTCCCTTCACATTTCACGTCTCTTAAGGTTGTCCCGGTTTGGCTGGGACAGAATCCCAGCCCAGCCATGCCAGGCAGGCCCTTAGCAGTTTGAGGCAGCCAGGGCAGCTGACCTGAGTGAGCTACAGGGGCAGCCCATCCCATCCTATCATGGGCGTTGTGAAGGTTTGGTGTGCTGAGGAAGGGGATCTTCTGTGGGGTTCCTGCTTAGATTCCTTCTGCTCCTCCTCTGGCTTCTCCTCAGGACTGCTCTCCTCTTGATTATGAGGACTGGATATTCATTTGGCTGAATATAACTCGTATACCTTTCTTGATACTAGTGCTGCTTCATTAAATCTGTTTTCACTCCAACCCAATGGTCTTCTCTTCTCTCCTTTTCCTGATTCCCCTCCCTGGCTGGTGAGGGTTCACTGGGTGATAGAGCAGCTGTAACAGTTTAGCCCCAGATACGGGCTAAACATAGACAAAGATGCTAGAATTCCTCCTGGATCTGTAAGATTTGGGCTCTTTTGAGATAATTGTGATGTTGCTTTAATGTATTATATTTGAGTTGTGAAAGTTTTATAACAGATTTAGAAGCTTTTTAGTTGTATCAGTCAGGTGTTGCATATCTCTGAGAGCAACATGTGTTTATGTTTTTAGAAAATACCTAAAAGGGGTCAAAAGATTGTGGGAAGAAAAAAAAAAGCTTGGACTCTTGGTTGTTCCAAGCTCTGACCAGTTCCAGGTTTTTTTATTTTTTGCATCAGTAATCAGTGGTATAGTTTTGCTTGTAGTGTATGGCGTGTAGAGAGAAAAGGCACTAGATGCGGTATCAAATCCTTCCCACAATTACCTGAAGGTAGTTACTCATTGAAGTTATTTCAGTGTTCTTGCTGCTGTTCCTCTGATCAGATTTGAATAAACCTTTTGTGTTATTCAGAGTATTCAGATGGAGTAAAAGTATATATGGGCCTCCATTTCTAGGTCATCTGTCATTCAGTGCTCCTGTCCAGTGCTCATGTTCCACTAAAAAAAAATTGTATTATTCAGCAAGCACAGAAGGATAAGGAAGATGATGATACATGGGAAAATAATAAAGAGTGGCTTTTGCAGTTTGTGATGATTATACAGTATGAATAGCATATCTCTGTAGCGCACATAGAGAGGAAGAGAGTTTTATTAGTAAAGGTAGGAGGTGCAGTGGTAGGGGTTTTAACTGTATTTTTTCATGGCATGTGCTAAGTATCTTCTGGTCTTCTCATTTTTCTTAGAGAAACCAGAATTTTCAAGCTTCAGTGAAACGCAGGTGTTTACTGCATCAGTAAAAGATTTGGGTTTTTTTTAAGATTTCATAAACATTAGCTATTATGGTTTCTCCTTTGGCACTCTCTTCCCGAGTTTGTGTATGGTGAAAGATTCACTCCGTGTCCACAAGATGGCCCTATGCACGGGTGTCTGCTACGTGTGCTGTGGAGAGGAGTTCAGTCTCCTTCAGGGAACACTGGAGGCAAAATGAGTGTTTTACACAAATGTGTGTAAATTTAACTATTTTCATATACATGCAACAATGCAGTAAATAATTATTCTATTATTAAATCTGTTACTGTGCCCATTTGAGATCTGACATCAGTAATTACTGCGTAGAGAGGGATATTCCACGACACTGAAAAGGCGGAGGCATGCTGGCTTTCTGACCAGCGTATACAGCATTATGCGATATTCACTGTTACTTGTGGTGCTTTACAAACCAATGATTTTGTTTCATTTTATTTTCATCATGTACTAATTTGATGACCGTTGGGTTTTTTGACTATTATTTGTTTAAAACAAAATATTAGTGACCTCTATGTAAGCAGGTGCTAGACTTGAATACATTGCAGAGTTAGACATTATATAATGTTAAGAAACTGGAGTTCTGGCTTTTTAAAACGTGAAACAATTTTCTTTTTTGTCAAATTTTGAGAGGGAGGTGCCAGGAACATGCCAGATTTAATGTAAGCGTGAAAAAGTGCTTTGAAACTATAGCTTCTAAATGCTATAAATGCTAAACTGTAGCTTCCAAGTGCATGGAAACCTCAGGTCAGTGAAAATTCAGCGATGAAATGAAGAGCAGAAAATTACTAAATAGGTGATGTTGCAATAATAGTACTGGTTTTGTGGGTGTGAGTTTTGGTATATATTTCAAAGTGCCATTCATCCCATTCTTCTTAACTTTGAAGCACAGTTCTTGGCATGTCAAGAGAGTGGGATGGGAAAATCTTAGGGGCCTTTTCTGCTTCCAAATGACATGGTTCAATTACATTTCTTTTCAGTTTACTGAATCTACTTTCCTTTTCAGAGTCAATACAGATTTGTATGTGAAGCTATTTTGAAGGTGTATGAAGAAGGATTTATTAAACCTTTACAAGCATCACTGCATAAGTAAAGAGCGAAAAAACCCAGGATATCAATTGAGGAGTCCTGTCGTCTGTAATGAACTGGCAGCGTTCTTTGTGCCATAATACTGCTTGCAGGAAATGATAGTGAAGTACAGCGAAGAATTGACAAAGGACTTTGAAAACTTCAGCACTGTTGCACTTTACGTTGAAACAAAATCAGTCTCTGAAACTCTTCTAACCTTCATCTGTTTGAAGACTTTATTTTCGTGCTTTGCTCGGAACGAACCATAAACTGAAAGAACTAATTGTGTTCAGGGTAATCGACGATATTTCATTTTAGTGCCATATACTGCGCTTCTGGTTGAATTGCTACAAACAAGGCTTGGAATTATTTCACTCTGTTTTACACCCATGTCTCTTAAAATGAAAAACAAATGAAAAAATACACTAAGCCATGGTCTTTTTCCAGTGCTAGGTTTATTTACTATGTACAGACTCTCACTGTTTTGTTTTTTACAACATTAGCAATATTGCCAATACTAGATAGATACACACTGCCTACTGATGCAGCACACGTTGTCCTACACCCTTACTAGAGACCAGCTGGTGGTTAGAGGAAAGCTGGCGTCTGTGTTAACCCAGCAGTAGCTGCATAATGCCCACTTACCAGCATCTTGTACAAAATAACAATAACAATAAAAATAAAAAAAATAAACAGCATTTCTTTGACACAGCTTGTGTGTCATACACTGGTGTATTCTGATTCGTGTGACTTAAGATTACGTGATGGGAACTAGTGCATGCATTGTGTCTTAACCCCTTAAGTGCCTTGAGACTTACAGTGTACATCCAGTGAAAGGCACTCATGATTCTGTGGGGGTGGTATTGTCCTGTCATATTTATCTCAATGGGTTCAGATTTTAAAAATGGCCCTTGGTGCTTGGAATGTGTTACCGCAAGGGGTCATGGAAATACCGTTCCCTCTTTCCTTATACAAGTACCTGTGTGCTACTCTCGGTAGCAAAAGCACCTCTGCCAACTTAATGAATGAGCATTGTATGCTGCTGTGCTGTAACTCTGTGAAAAATCTGACACATTCCTTCCAACTAGTAACCTACTAGCAGCTTACTATGAAATGCTGGTAGGTTATTAGAAGCTGATTCTTTGTTTTATCCTTTTATTAAGAATAGCTGTTTTACTGGATTAGAACATAACTTTAATAGCACTGATAAATAAGTTGAACTTACAATCAGATGTGATTTAATTCCATTATCTGCTAACCAATTACTTTTAAAGTCCTTATAGTTGATTTCAAGCCGTGTTCGTACAGGTCTGCCTTTTCCTTTTTTTTTTTTAATTGTTTGGGGGGGGGGGAAGGGAGCAGAACACTATGAAGTTGTCTCAGAACTTTCTTTTAATTCCATAATGACCCCAGTCACCCTTTGTTACACTTGTGGAAAGTTGTTCCAGTTGGTATGGGTTACTTCTTATTTAAGTAGAAGATTTGTAAGAAATGTCTGTCTGATACAGTATCTGAGCTCATTCTAAGGGTACATAAAAGTCCCAGTTTTTTAATATTTTTCCAGTATAGAAGAAACTAAGTCAGAAGCAAGATATCCAGTGTAATATACTGTAAGGAAAAAAATCAGTCACTTCTTTGACTGACCTGTGACAACATAACTTTGTGCCCTCTATTTAAAAGTTTTAATTTATTGTATTGGTTTCCTGAAAATGTTTATCCAGTAAATTTTGTTGTAAGCTATATGGAGCATAGAATTAAAATGGAAAGTTCTACGCTAAATAATTTTTAACTATTGAAGAATTATATTATATAATATACTGTGTTCTATGGACATTTGAAAGAGATCAGCTATGAACTGTTAAGTGAAAAGGGATTCAGGTAAAGTGAAATCCTGGCTTATGACTTAGTAATAAATGTGAACCACAATGCCAAATGGAAGACAGAGTTTTAAGTATTTTTAGAAAACAAAATAATATTAGGTGGCCTGTGGCCCGGTTACTTATATTTCTAGATATGATGCTTACATCAGTATTATCCCTCAAGTGAAAAATGAATCCTAGAAGAATCTCTGGATCTGATAAACTGAAAAAGAGTAGTAAGGTAGCTTTAACCTCAGTTTTATTTTAAGCCATTTGCAATGAAAGAAAATTCTTTTTTTAGGAAAGTATAAGCTTTAACTTCAATGTGACAAGAATAATAGCTGAGACGCTGGTTAGTTGGAAAGTTATTTTAAACTCAGCACTTAATGTCTAAAAATTAATTCATCCATTATATTGAAATAAATTTTCTTCATAGTCAAATTGTAAATGAAAATAGCATCTGCCCTTTTTTCTGAGGGAAATCAGATGGAGTTTATAGCAACATTATATAGTGTTGGTATGTCACATATTTAAATATTCTTATATAAAGTTGCCAAAGCAGTTTGAGTTCAAAAGACCCATTTATACCACAATGAAGTGTGGGGTATTCATTGGTCGTCTGTCAGTACTGTTTTGATTACAAACACAGGCAAGAGTAATAGGTCTCTTCAAAATCTGATTTAAGCTGATTTATAGTGTATTAACTAGTTGCACTGGGAAAAAAACGGGAACAAAGTAACTCCTCTAGATGACTGGCCATCGGTGACTCAGTGGCTTTTTGGCTTCTCCAAAGCCAGGACAGTGGTAACCAAAAGATGATTGGGAAAGAGAATTGAAGCCTTTCCGCACCATAAATCATTCGTTCAGATGTTTCTACCTGTTGTGGTATAAATGGCCTTTAAAATATTTTTATATGGCCAAAAAAAGCAAAACTGTTAAATATTTTACTTTGGGTTATGAAGATCTGTATCATCCTTAAGAGTTTTTAAAAGAAGTTTTTGTATGTTTCATGCTGTACAAAACATGAATGTATCTTTCAGACATAATGACCTATAGACCTATACGTGATTGGTGTTATGACTGTTGGATTTTATGAATAATTATTTTCATACCATTTGATTAGGAAAAATGTTGGGTGGGTGTGGGAAAGTATGTTTGTAACACTTCCATGATACAAATCCATTTTGGAAAAAAAAAAAAAATTTCATTGTAAATAAGAGCAATATGAGGACAATTTTGTGCCAATGTATAATGTTAAGACTTTTGTTTTCCTTTTAGGTTTGGATTGAAAACTACAACTATCATCTCTTGTTTAAAGTGGATTTGAAGGGAGGTTTTAGTAGAAAGACGTGGGGCTCTAGCGAGGGCTTTGAGTGTTTTGGGGGAAAATTTTTATTTTTGCTAAATATGAAGTAAGATGCAGGTATTGTTTCCTAAACCACCCACAGTTTGTCAGCCAATCCACTTTGAGAAATACTGCTTTAGATATACCAGATAACTGAGCGCTGAAGAATTCATTTATCCTGAATTTGGAAGCATTTGGTGTTTTAAATAGCTTGCAAGTCTTAAGCAGTAAAATACTGCTTTTATGCATTTTATTTTTATATATTCTCTTCCAGCTCTGAAAAAGAGAAAGCCTGATTTTTTTTTTTTCTCACTACGTTTAGTGTTAGATGACATTTCTTCCACATTTCTCTGTTAAATCTTGAAAGCTTACGTCCCATATAGATAAAGCAGTAACAGTTCTAGAATATCTGATTACAGTCTGGCACACCATCTATTAGAGAAAGGGTGAGAAAGCAGTTGGGAGATTAAAGGAACATGAGGAGTTTGTTATGGAACCGGTGTAGCCGGCAGCTTTCCATGGAGACCTTCCAAGAAGCTTCATGGTACCCATGGAAGGGCCAGAACGCAGCAGATCTGCTGCAGTTGCACTGCCCAGGGAGATGGGAAGTAGGGAAGGTCTGGCATAGGGATGCTGGAGCTCCAGGAATGCTGTGGAGCTGAATTACATGATATTTTTATGCTTCTGCAGTGTGCGTGCAGGTGTGTGGGTGGTGTTTGATGGCTCAGGGAATTGGCATGAGCATGAAAAACTTTACAGATCCAGCAATTTCCAAGCAAAAGCAGATTGTCCAATATATATGCCGTAGTTTTGATGGTAGAGCTGCTGTGTAAGTAATCTTCAAAACCCTCATCCCTGAGGGAGGGATTGGGTGAGGGTCCAAATTAAAATTTTGCGTATTTGGACTTCCACAATGTGCAGGAATGGTGCCCTGTAATGTCACTTGTCTTTTTGTAGCTAACATCTTGGGTCCTCAGTTTGCTGGCTGTATTTGCTAATTTAAGTACCCACCTTTTGTCTTGAGACGGGAAAAGCCCTTTTTCATCGCTACTTTCAGTGCCAGGATCCAGTATCAAAATCTGATAAAAACACATTCATGGATTGGACAAGGATCTTGAATGAAATTGCAGAGATTATAATTAGTGGTGATTGGGAAGCTCTTATGAGGGGAAAATGGTTTGTTTGTTTCAGTATAACTCTTCTGTCTGGTCTCTCTTATCCCACTGCAGTTATAAATTGAAAGTGATTAGTTTGTTTGTTTGTTTAGCAGTCTGCAAAGGAGGCCAGTTTGTTATCACTGGATTTTATCTCTGTGCTGGTTGCTACCACGACTGTGCATCTTTTCAGTTCATAGGGCTTTGCTAGCTACAGGTTATTAACTGGTGCATAAGCTGCAAGCTCTGGCTATCGGCTTTGGCATGTTTTACTTGCTGAGACCTCAATGGTAAATATTTTAAATCACTTTTTTAAAAAATGCTGAAATTTTAAATTCAAGAAATTTGGGCTTTTTGATTTGATTACTTTGAACCAGTAGCCTCGTTTAAAAAAATAAAAACAAACCCACTAAAATGTCTATCTGTCTATAGTCTGCTGTAGCATGAACTGTGGTTTCACGGACTGGCTGACAGTTTGTTGGTTGTGTTATTTCGTATTTAGCAAGCTTACACATTTTAAAGGGTAATTTTTTTTCAAAGTGTTTTGATGTTTGAATAGTAGCACTTTATCTCATGCTTACTACTGACTGAACTGTTGGACAAAATAAATTGGGTTTGGAGAGAGATGCCTAATGGGTTTCTGTACAGAGATGATTCAGATTACACCCTGGTACGAATGCTTTCTGTTGTCCCAGCCATTTCTGGTTTATTTTTCATGTGTTTCTAAGGGATTTTCAGAAAATAGATGTTAACAAGATATTAATAATTATATTGCCTGAATTTTTCTGTCTTAAAAAGAATATAAAGCTTGCATTGGGGGGAAAAAAGGAAAAAAAAAAAAAGGTGCAAATAGAAACTACAGGGTACTTGTAAATTTATCTCTGTGATCTCTCTCAGCTAGCTGCAAATTAGCTATGTTTACTGTAAATGTTTCTGCTAAGCATTATTTTTAACATTAGATCAATTACCTGGAAATCAGTTTTTGTTTTTTTTTTTTACTTAACTTATTTGAATTTTTATAACTAAAGATAATGCACAACAAAGTTTAAGGAAGTTGTCACCCTGTTACTCCTAGGCCAGGGGCCTAAGACGTGAGTGAAAGGGTTAAACAGTTTACATTAAGCTGTTGTTTTCTTTAACTAGAATATATCCACAAAGGTTAGACTATAACCGTCCCAGTGCAATTATCTCAGTACATTGGGGCACCGCAGTAACAACCCATCATAATCTTACAGGAAAACTAAGGTAAGAGAACGAAGGTTTTGTTTTATCCAGTGCATCCAGATTTGTTTTCCATTCGGTTTGGTTTGTTTCCAGTGATCCCATTT